ATATCTCAAGACTGATTTTTCTAAGGTTTTATGGACTGATGAAATGAGAGTGAGTCTTGATGGGCCAGATGGATGGGTCCGTGGCTGGATTGGTAAAGGGCAGAGAGCTCCAGTCCGACTCAGACGCCAGCAAGGTGGAGGTGGAGTACTGGTTTGGGCTGGTATCATCAAAGATGAGCTTGTGGGGCCTTTTCGGGTTGAGGATGGAGTCAAGCTCAACTCCCAGTCCTACTGCCAGTTCCTGGAAGACACCTTCTTCAAGCAGTGGTACAGGAAGAAGTCTGTATCCTTCAAGAAAAACATGATTTTCATGCAGGACAATGCTCCATCACACGCGTCCAAGTACTCCACAGCGGGGCTGGCAAGAAAGGGTATAAAATAAGAAAATCTAATGACATGGCCTCCTTGTTCACCTGATCTGAACCCCATTGAGAACCTGTGGTCCATCATCAAATGTGAGATTTACAAGGAGGGAAAACAGTACACCTCTCTGAACAGTGTCTGGGAGGCTGTGGTTGCTGCTGCACGCAATGTTGATGGTGAACAGATCAAAACACTAACAGAATCCATGGATGGCAGGCTTTTGAGTGTCCTTGCAAAGAAAGGTGGCTATATTGGTCACTGATTTGTTTTGTTTTGTTTTTGAATGTCAGAAATGTATATTTGTGAATGTTGAGGTGTTATATTGGTTTCACTGGTAATAATAAATAATTGAAATGGGTATATATTTGTTTTTTGTTAAGTTGCCTAATAATTATGCACAGTAATAGTCACCTGCACACACAGATATCCCCCTAACATAGCTAAAACTAAAAACAAACTAAAAACTACTTCCAAAAATATTCAACTTTGATATTAATGAGTTTTTTGGGTTCATTGAGAACATGGTTGTTGTTCAATAATAAAATTAATCCTCAAAAATACAACTTGCCTAATAATTCTGCACTCCCTGTATACACCTTAGACCAAACATACATATACAATGCAATGATTATATTTTATATTCAATAAATTATGAGATCTCATAATGAAGATGCTCACTGTAACAGAGCGCCTGCACCCAGAGTGGTACCTCTGCTGTAAATTCTCCCAGGTGCCATAGTGAAGCAGTGATTATAACTCCCGCATACCCAAACATCAGTTTAGACTTGATGAAGGGTACAAAACGAACTAGTTTATTATGACCGAGTTGCCTGTTTATACACACGATCCCCAGAATGGGGTCTCCATTCAGTACAACAGTAAAACCGACCAGGCATCTCTGTGTCTGGGAGGTAAGTAAGTTTGCTTTTGCTTAAGCTAAATATAAGACAGATAGGAACCCCCACAAGTATTATATCTCTGGATAGCCCAGGTCAGAGCACCCAAGTTGTCCAAATAGCCCTAAGATCCATGTAGTATAGCCAAATCGCTACCTGAGTAAAGTTTTGAGCGACCGCACACGTGCCTGCTGCAAAAAAAATAGTTTCCTGAGAAAAGAGGTAGTGGCCGGTCAACTTTAGGGAGTTCAAATGAAGGCTCGCCCTGGCTCGTAGGGAGCAAATGTTCCCCTCATTCGGGAGTGTCTTTTCACTGAACAGAGCTCTCCTGGCTTGCTGTGAGAGGAGCAGGCAATGATACGATTTTACCGGGGTTTGCGAGGTAAAGTATCCGAAATATAGTTCCACACACTCGACGATCAAGTACCTCCAACTGCTTTCAGGAGACAAAATGGCCGCCATTTACTTGAGCACATGTGTTTGGTTATATGAATATCAGCCACCCAGAGAGGGCACTTGAATTAATTGTTTCTTTGAAGTTAACAAGCCAGGGGGTGGTCGTTGTTCAGTAGCATGAAAATAGCAAGCCAATGGGGAAACATATTGTGTTTGGTTAACCGGGGAAAACGAAATAGGGAAGTTCTCTACACCCTCCATCAAGAGGATAAATTACATATTAGCTGAAGAAAAAGCATGTCAACAAACCCCGTGGTCTTTTGTCTACTATTCTATTTAACTATGACCATAATGACATCAGACCTTTTACCTGAACTCTGGACACGTATGAGGACCCTCAACCCTCAATCCTCTCATTATACACCAACATTGCATTTTTTCATGGTACAGCATAGTAAATTACCATTTGTTCTTTTTAACCCATTAGACATCCAAACCTAATATGAATATAAATATGAACATATAATACTGTAATATTCTACATGATTCTGAAGTATAACATATGCCCCATACAAAACACAATTCTACATAAAACATATATACATAACATAACAAGTTAATGAATATATGGGAGAAAAAAGCAAACCTAATATGAATGCAATATATCATCTTGAACAGAAGGTCAATCAACACATGTGACATCCAGAGCAAGCATCCATAATACTATTGTACCTAACATTAAATTATCCATAAGATAGTGAAAGCTTTCCAAAAATTCATTGTCCATACAGTACAGTTCTCCACCTATCTTTTGTTTATATGAAATTTGATATTCTCTCTGTCCATTGTATGATAACTTGAACTGTTGTAGCATTACAATAAAAATGAAGGTGTGCAATACCTGCAAATATCAGAATATCAAAAGTATTACAGACAAGTTATAAAAAAAAATAAAAAAAAAATTACTTAGAGAGACATTATAGGCACCAAAACAACTTTAGCTAAATTAAGTAGTTTGGA